GCATTATATTAATTGACTTTTACTCTAATTTTAGTTATAAAAATCAGTTAGGCTAGAAGTCAGTTTTGTTCAACACTAATCTAAACACACCCTAAAAAGCTCTGAAAAGATTGAAGATATGAAGGAAGGAAGCCGGGTAGCCAGCCATTCAACCCTTTTTTGGGGGGAAAAAAAAAACTTCTATTTAATGAACCGCGTTGCTGCTATTGATCTAAAAAAACATATATAAAAAAAATTAATTTATCAAATAGGAAAAAACTAGCAATTGAGTTTTAACAAAGTTAAAAGTTTAATGATTGAGTTGTATCAATCGTAATAAAAAGATTGAGTCATAGTTAAATTAAGAGTTAAAAGATCAAAGATTAATTTTCTACGAAAACATTAAAAAAATATCAAAAATTTTTTAGACATGATGATGATGTCGTTATAATTGATCTGAAATGAATACTGCGTCATTGTATTACCAATTGGTGTCATCACCATCAATTCAACAAAGTTGATCTATGGCTCTTAGTTGAATAGTAATAGTTGAATAGTGACTTAGAAGCAAATACTCAAGGACAAGTATATTAATAAAGCACAAAATACTCAATGACAAGCAGACTTGAAGTATTTTATCATTTTGTTTTTGTTTTTAAACTTTAGGCCTCTAATTTAGTCCTGATTCAGGATTAATTTTTGATTTATACGTTTGGTATTATTACTTTATAAATTGACTTTTATTAAAAAAAAACAGATTAACAAAGCACAAAACGCTTTTACTTCTGCAGTTCTGCTGAATTATAAACTTCGGACATTTCAAATAAAATATTTCAAGTGCGAAACAAAGTTTTCTCAAATAAATTATTGTGAAAGCAAATAAAAGCCTAGTGAGAACGAACCACCCTTACAAGTAAAGATAACAAAGATTTTTACTATGAATTTGTTGATGCATTTTCAACTATCTCAAATGATCTTATTTATTAAGCGTAATTTTCAGTGTTATCATCAAACTGATCAAAATTCGTAGTTATGTTATGTTTGTTTTAATGTTTTAATAAAATCAACTTGTTGTAAAAAAATTCATTTCTTGGATTTATAGGGTTCTTAATATAAAGAAGTTAATTTTTTGAGTTTGAAAATAATAATTTCAATTAAAAAATTCATTTCTTGGATTCATAGTACATGTTTGTTTTATTTTTCTTTTATCTTATATCTTCTTTTTATCAAAATTTCACAATCCCGCTTCTCCAATTTTTTAAATAAAGCTAAAAATTTTCCTCCCTTTCGGTCCCTCTTATTGGACTATTTGTGATCTTGATGAAATTAGGTAACTTGGGGGTTTTCTATGTGTGTGAGATCTTTATTTATCATAACTAAATATATATTGATAATAATTGATATATAACTTTATTTTCTTAATTGATGCAAATAAATAAATAAGATTGCAAAGGTGAAGAGATAGGATTGTACTATCTTCCACGTTATTTGAATTCTCTTTTTAAGCTTGAATGTGTCATGATTATTTTTGTGAAAATTTATGGTAATTTGTGTTTTTTCAAGTACGCTTGCATATGCTTGGTTTGTTGCATATTCATGGCATGCATAGATAGTTGGACTAGGGAGTCATGATATTGATACATGTAATGTACTGTGACCATGTGGTTTGCGTCCATTTAACACAAAGTGGTTGGCTTTTCTAGACCTCGTTCCTTAATACTTATACCTAGCCAAGTTTATAGAGAGGGAATGTGCGATAGTGATGCCTCTTGGTTTTGTTCTTTAAAGAGGAGAGTTATAGTCAAAACTTGGGTTCTGTATCTTTGACCAAATACATCTGAAGTATTAGAATAGCTTTGGTTAGTTCGATGTGCGGGCCAAACTGTAAATAAGCTTGTGGTTCTAGTTAGTGGAATAAAATTTGACGGAGTAATAAGGGGGAAAAAATCCATCAGCTTATTTATGTTGTTGATATGGATTGCTTGCGTGTAATGATTGTATGTGTATAGTTAAATTCTGAGTTACTAAGACAAGAGGGTCATCCCAATTATTTAACTTTTTTTTTTCAGGTGATAAATCTCTTAGGGAGTACAGAAAGATAGCAGATATATTTCTCAAGTACATGCTCAGTTAATTTGATTATTTATTATTTGTCATGACTCTAGAACATCAAATCATTATTTTTGTTAACTCCTTTATTAATAAATACTGTTCTTTATTTTAAGTTCTCTCTACTATTTATGTTAATCTGGACTATGAAATTGCGTACTTGGATATATAGACTTAAACTAGCATGTGCTTTCTCATGCGTTGCATGGGAAGCTTTGCCTTAAATCATAACCTTTCCTTATATCCACATTTAGTAGAAATTCAGAAACTTCAACAAAAGTAAAATATACATCTAGATTGATACGAAGACACGAGGTTGCAATCCTATAAATTTTATCTTTAATTTGTAAACATTTTCAGCAGCTGCATCCCCCATTATAAAACAGAATAATGACCTCTCTTCTCATGCTATTAAAGTCAAACATAGCATGTGTTATAATTTAGAGGTTATTGTACCTTGATTGTAGTTAAGTGAACAATTCTCATTTAATTATAATTAAGATCCTTTAAAATGAGCTTTAAGATACTTTAAACACACAATTAGGTAGTTTATATGCATAAAATAACCATTTCAACATAACTATTGAGTGTAGAAAATGAACTTGCTGTAGATTGAAAATCAATGCTCAAATACAGCTTTTGTGTTATCATAAAAAACATATAATTGTCATCTTTATGCTTAGGTGAGATATTATTGCACAGCCGCCCCTTCCAAGGCATCATGCAAACATTGTATCAAAATTGGTATGTTTCTTTAAAAATATATCCCAAGACACAAATTGGTACTTGATTTTTTAATAACAGATCCCACCATCATGCAAAAGTACTTCCTATCTTTTCATGCTCCTCATTCTTGATAAAGCCACATATCCTATTGTGCAAGAGAAGCCAGTAAGACCGCATATACAACATTAGTGGTTATAGTTTTAGGCCCAATCTATCTTTTATTTATTTTCCATCACTATCATTGGGCCTTAACACCTTCACAAGTTAATGAAAATGGTTTGTTTTTTGGGTAAAAATTTGATGAAAATGTTGGACATTACAATTTGACTAAATCATCATTGCTTAGTTAGAAAAACAGTCCATTCTCCGAAATAAACGTGTGATTTAGAGATTTCTTTCATAGTACTTGGGTATTATTAACTAATATAGTTCATAACTAAATAAGGATTACTAAGTTTCTAACATTATCCATATATAAATTATGATAATATCTAGAGAGCAAGCATCATATTCCATGTTTCTCGAAATAAATTAAATAAGAAATCATGCAATATTTTCAAATCCATATATAAAAGCATTTTGAGATCCTCACTTGTTGAACATGATTTGTAGATAAATAGAAATTCTCAATTCATTATGTTATAATGTAATTTAGATATATTTAATATACTTTGAATTAAGAATTTTAATATTAAAAAAATAAAATCTCAACAAAATTCTTCAAAAATCAATAAAATAAATCACACTATTTTAACAATAACAATGTAAAAATGGTTTTAATTAAAAAAAATTAATGTAAATTAGTTTTCTCAAAATCACTGGTTAAATAATAACTAAGCAGAAAGGGCTTCAGCTCAAAAATATAACATTTGTAGTGATAGGTTAAAAAGAAGTATCCTTTTACTATGAGATTGACAGCAACATAATAAGCACATGAAAACTTCCTTTTCGTTGGTCGAAATGTAAAAAGTAATTGTTACCCCATCAGTGATGTACTCCATTCCTTCGATTTAGAGATAAGAAGAAACACAAAAGGCTCCAACATAACCTTACAGAACTGATTTCACATCATATTACAAACAATTTTGAATATTTTTTTTTTCATTCTTTTCAATTTAGAAATAAAAATAAGAAACACAAAAAGCTGCAACAGAAACTTACAGATTTTCACCACACATACAAGTTGTCAGCTTTTGAAAAGGTATGTACAATGAGTTTCCAAACCCATGAAAGCAGTAGGGGAACCCTTTTCTGCACTTGATGAGCTTATATTAATTGAGCACAAAACACAGGAAACTTGCTTTATTCCATGGCTATCCATAATCGCTGGTAGCATGTTTTGTGCAGGTCATTAATCCACACACTTTGACTCTACAATTTCCAAACCCATGAAAAAAAGCAAACATTTAATGAGACATTTGTCCCCGTGACCGTTCCCTACCACTTCTTGATTATATGAAAATTTTATTTTAAACTCTGCAAGTTAGGCTTGCGTCATCTCCAGGACGATTTAGCAAGCATCTTAGCTTTTGTTTAGCCGTAGACTTGCTTATCTTCTTCAAGACTAATGTCTTGTATACTTAAGAAAAAAGCATTTCAAATTAGAGACCATAAGGTTTTGAAAAAAAATTAGCTTTTCATATAATCAAGAAATGGCAGACACGATCACACGATTTCATTTTAGCATTTTCACAAACATTTCAGGCATGTATGTTTTGTTCCATGAGTTTTTTCGGGTACAACTGCAATTAATTTTGAAAAAAACACCCTAGATTTCAATCGTTAAGGAACGCAATCATGGGGTCGACCCTAATGGCCACAACTGCGATCCTTCTCTGCTCAGGCCTGGCAGCAGCTATAAGCAGCGCTTACAGCATCAAGCAAGTTTATACATTTACAGCAGTCACTGAATATTACAAATGGACTTAAAACTCATTGCTTAGAGTGAGGGAGCTATAACAACAATCTTATTAATGGGTATATGAATAAAAGACTAGAATCATGTGAAAAAAGAATAAGACCAAAATCATTCACCTTCAACCCAGATGAATGATACAGTTGAAGAAGAAAAATGGAAAATTCGAATCAGAGACAAAAATGAGGAACATTAATTTTCCCACTTGCCCTTCTCCCTTCTTTCCTCACCGGATATCACTTAGAAATATATGAGAATGATCACATTCGCAAACGGTAAACGGAGAACAGAAATGCCAGATCAATCAATTCCCAGAAAAGTAAACCAGCTATGTTAGAAATGAATTCGTCTCTGCCTACCCACCGTTATGTCGCATCCTTGTCTGCGCCTACCATCGTCATTGCTATCTTGAGTGTTTTTTGTTGCATCTCCGCAGCTATAGTGATCGCCGGATGTCCCCATCATCCATCCGCTTCCGATGAAGAACATAAAGCAATGAAGAAAGAGACTGGAAAGAAGAAAGTCAAAAACCCATGAAGAAGATCTGAGAGAGAGATAAAGCGGGCGATGAAGAAAATCTGAGAGAGAGGGGACATGTCATGGGAGGAGTGAAAAGTGAGCCTACGAGAAGGAGGGGGTGAGATGGGAAAAATAGGAAGGATGAGATAATGTTTACAGGCGAAAAATGACTCTTTTTTAAGATAATTGGAGGGAGGTTTTGAAATTTAAATTTAAAAAGTATTTTTGAAAAATGCCTTAACTTAACTGGCACGAAGCCCTATGTTTCATTAATGTGTAATGTGGCTTGAATAAAGCCTAAGGAATTTTTTTTGGTTTGGTCATTAAGTCAAATTTTGCTTATAAACAGCAACTCGAGTGGAAGAGATTTATAAGTCATATTGATGATGATATTGATGATTACATTGCGAATTTTATTCTCTTGTTACGTGACACAAGGGCAGAGCCCTTAAAGGGTACATTGATTAATGAAATGAGTCTTTTTGACAAAAAAGATACTACCTCCAGTCCTAATTATAAGAGCTAGTTGACTAATTTGAGAAAATTAAGTAAGTAAGTTAAGTTAGTTATTTGTAATAAATATGTGTTATCTTTATTAAAATATCCTTACTAATCAAGGGTATTGGTTAGAACTATCATTATTAGAAGGATTACTTTGAAAAAAATATATGAATATTAGATACAAAGTGGATTGGGATCTTATATTTAGGACTAAAATAAAAATCAAACAAGATCTTATATTAAGGACAGGAGATAGTATTATCCAATGCTGCTAACGGGATGGCGGGAGGACAGGTATTACACTGAATCTCATCAAACATCCACGGGAAAATCATCTGTAAATGAAAATAAGCATGGTCAGCACGTGATTCTTGTGAAAAGAAATTAAATAAATAAACATATAAGCATTTGATTCAAGTATTTTAATACCTTCACCTCTGAAAACGAAAAGTATTCTTTCGATAGGGAAAACAAATGCCATCCATTACCGCTCATGTTCAACCTATTCATGCCCATTGAATCAAAAGCACTCTTAGATAACAAATCATGAAGCTCATGAATTATTTATATCGAAGCTCAATGAAATTACGGTAGTCCAAGTGTGGGAACAGGCCTGAAGCTATAACTCTGTCTCTGTGTGATCTTATGATTAGAGTCAAACCCAATCTTGAACTCCCTTCGATTAAGGTAAAGTTAAAAAATCACATTTTAGAAATCCAAGTTCGCAAAGAAACATATTCTGAATAGCACTGAATTAAACATGATGCATGCATTAAAGATGCGTTCATATGGCAAAGAAAACGACTTTTATTTTACGTCTTACCTCTGCTGTGAAAACTGCAGGGTGGCCTTCTCTTGCGGCTTTAATACTACTTCCGGTTCTCAATATAAGATCTTATTTAATTTTTATTTTGATTCTAAATATAAGATCCCAATCCACTTTGTCTCCTATATTTATGTTTTTTTTTTCAAAGTAGTCCTTTTAATAATGATAGTTATAACTAATACACTTGATTAGCAAAGATATTTTGGGAAAGACAATACATATTTATTACAAATAACTAACTTAATTTATTTCCTTAATCTCTTCAAATTAGTTAACTAGTTCTTATAATTAGGACTGGAGGTAGTAGCATGGAACTTGCTTTTGTATTCTGCCCTTGTTCTGTTAGCAGACCACCTACTAGGAGCACCCTCCAGAGAGATAAAGATTGAGAATCAGAGATCAGAGAAAACCATAGATTATGAGTAAACAAAAAAAGATTATGGTATCCGCCTGACAGTAGATGGGTTCGTGCAGGACGGCATGGAGGGGATGTGTATCAAAACTCAACCACTTCTCAAAGTGCATAGATGAAAAACTGCATGGTGATCTTCAAAGTGAAACTTGAAATCTAGGATTCAAAATTTTATATCTGGAGGTTAATTACTCACAGAACTTAAGAAGTTGTAGCTGATTCTCTTGGGTGCTTCTGGAACCAAAATGGGATCCCACACTTTACACAGGTTAGCCTGTAACATAATGGAGAGATTAATTTGGTAGTTCAGGATGATTAAAAAGGTACCATTTTCATGCAAGTAATGCATGCGCTCAAACCCAGCTCCATATCCCCAGCCAGAAAGACCCAGAGTCTGGAGTTCTCTGGGCGTTAATATGCCCCCAGATGGAAGCGTCACCTACAGCAAGAAAGAAGCAATACGCAACTGAGACAACTTTGCATGTATTTTCCACATTAACAACAATAAGAAAATCCAATATGGCAGGTACTTAGTACCTAACCCTCCCTTTTCAGCTAAATAAGTAACCGGCTCTTGAACAATTTTGATGTCCTCAGGATATCTTTTGTAGTACTTGTCAATTCGGCACATAACTTGCTCATAGCACGCCCTGTATACAGAATCTGCAGTACAAGCATCTCCCATTGGAGGAATTCCCCCTGTTAGAAGGACTTGTTTCAGTCCCTGCGGTGCAACACTCAAATATGTGACCCCACAAAAGCCTCCCAAGCTCTGCAACAGTTGCCAGAACACAGAAGGAAGAAAGAGTAAGAAATTATTGAATACCCAGGTTTAGTTTCAATATTCTAAAAGCAAATAAAACTAAATGACCATAAAACAACTATCTAAAATATGAAACTTACAGTAGGATCAATTTAGGAGAAAGATTATAAAAGAAGCAACATTCCAAGGAACACTAGCTAGGCCTCATCACTCATTCACATAAAAACCAATAGGAAACAGCCTTAAAAATGTCCAAGGCCCTGCACCTGGAACAAGGCGCAGTCGAGCAAACTCTGCATCATCTACAACATTATCAGGTCGGAAATGTTTCGAGTAATCAGCTCATGCATCCGCAGACTTGAATTGTGACATTGATGATACTGGCAGGGGAGGAGGTAAGCCTGTTCCTCGCTGCAAAAACATGCATAGGCAATTGAATAAGTGATGAACCAAAACTTCATAGGACGAAGCAGAGGGTGATGCAAAGGTCTAACTAATCATGCCTGATCCATTAAGATGACACGAAGGTCTCCACAAGCTTTGTGAATCCATCCACTGGATTCGGTTGGTCGCAGACACTGAAACCCCGGTCCACCTTGCAAATATAGTAGGTATGGCAATGTTTGCTCTTCTTTGCCAGCTGTGACACCACTCTGCCGATCACTCTCGACGAAATGCTCGTTCATTGTCGTGCCGTTGCTCGTAGCGCTAAACGGCCACTTCTGGTAGGGGACTTGCCGTTTGGGACCTATGAATCAAGCACCGGTCCGGTGCGTTTACTTTGGTTAATTGGTTTGGTTTAGCAAAAAGTATGGTGTTTGTCCAATAAGTTTGAAATCCCACTTGTTTTGTTGACGAGGAAGCTTTGCTTCCTCTTCCGGATGCAATTGTGCTTTCATAGCCTTTTTGGTCGTGACAAAACAATGCAATGAGTTTTAATAAAACAATTGTTAATAATATTAAATTTGTTAAGTACTACCTCCGGTCCTAATTATAAGACCCAGTTGACTAATTTGAAGATATCAAAGAACTTAGTTAAGTTAGTTATTTGTAATGAATAGGTGTTATTTTTCCTAAAATATCCTTACTAATCAAGTTTGTTATCTAGAACTATCATTCTTAAAAAATATCTTGGAAAAAAAAGGGATAAATATGAGAGACAAAGTGGATTTGGGTCTTATATTTAGGATCAAAATAAAAGTCAAACGGAGTCTTCTATTAAGGACCGGAGGTAGTATATTATTGGACTTAAAAAAATGCTCAAAAAAATAGTTGTTAGTTGCTCGATCTCAATCGGCCTGGCTGAGAGTACCGGTGATTGGCGGGTGAGAGTGTTTGATATTTTTTAAAAATAAAAATAAAAAACAATATGTTTACTACTTAAATTTTTCTTATTGAGGATTTAATTATGATTTTTTTTGTCTTTTTCCCCATGCTTTTTATAGCGGCTGTAAGAAGATTTTGTTTTATTTCTTGTGTAATTACAAATCAGACCAATATAGATACCTTTTGTTGGTGGTAAGGAACATAGAAGTAAGGAATAAAGGATAGGGAGCAAGACATCTAACAATCGAACAACCATCAAAATATGGAAATCCCAAAATGTCCTTCAAAATGGATTCACTCTTACGAAGTCTTTGGGGACTATATTGGAATTAAGTTTTTTTTGTTTTTTCATGTTTGTTACTGCTCATTTTGATTACAAACAGGCAGTCGACACAGCTGTTCGTCTGCAAGGGGGAATGGATGCAATAAAATTGGAAGGAGGGGCACCTTCAAGAATTGCAGCAGCAAAAGCTATTGTTGAAGCTGGAATTGCTGTCATAGGACATGGGGGACTAACTCCACAGGCCATTAGTGTTTTGGGGCGTTTTAAGCCTCAGGGAAAGAATGTGTCTAGTGCTGTCAAGTTCGATCTCTCTCACATCAATCTATTTGAGACTTGAACAATATTTCTCTTAAGGTCCTGAAAGAAACTTCTGTGTAGGTTGTAGAGGCTGCTCTGGCTTTCCAGGAAGCTGGATGTTTCTCTATTGTTCTAGAGTGTGTGCCGCCACCTGTGGCTGCACCAGCAACGGCAGCCCTTCAAATACCCACAATTGGAGTAGGGGCTGGTCCATTTTGCAGTGGACAGGTTAGCTGGCTTAATGGTCTTCGTACCTGATATTCTATGATTGAGGTTTACTTTTCCTAAGAGTTGAATGGCCTGGATTCGTACTACTTTTTCTCTGCAGTTGAAAGTCGCTTGACCATTACTTGATTTTAAGGTGCTTATTCTTCATCAGGGGGCTTTTCCCTGTTACAATGACTTGATGCTCTCACATAAAGTGGTCACCTTTTCTTTTGTCTTGCTTTTTTTTTTTTTTGGTAAAATAAAATGTTCACTTCTGATTTGGATATATTCAGTTAACATTGGCTTTAATAGTTTCTAGTACCTATTATTAAATCGCTAATTATGCCATCAATCAATGTGAGAGTGAGATGATGAAGCAAATTAGCCACTAAAATTACCTTCTGTATGCAATTTGGCCACTAGTACTTTCTTCTGTTCAATCCTTTGCACCTTGTGATTTCTACGGTATTTGTACCCACGTGGGAGAGTGATCTAGCCATTCCTTTCTCATGTTATACCTAGTTGATATTCTTTACATGTTTTCAATTTCTGAATGATAAACCTAGAAATTTTGAAGGGCCAATTTCAATGACATAGGTGCGGTCTGAATTCTTTTACTTCTTACTGAACTATGCCTTGGCTCTTTATCATGATTTTCCTCTTTTCTAGAAGACAACTTCTTTGGTAGAACGGCGTTCAAAAGAATAGTAAACCAAACCAAACATGCACATGTACTTTTTGCATGTTGGGCACACTTTTATTGAGACTGGCTTCTACATGCTTGCTTGGCTTAACTGTTTCCATTGGACCAGAATTATCTAAGAATCTCTGTTTGCAGAACTTGATTATTTAGCTGCACAAACTTTCTAATTTCATTTCCATGTTCATGCAGGTGTTAGTTTATCATGATTTGCTTGGTATGCTGCAACATCCCCATCATGCAAAGGTATTTCTGGCAACTTTTAGCCCAAGTCATCTTCTTTACTCTATTACATGACTAGATGGAGATTCGTCTATGCACGACTATTGTTTTCTTCAGGAAAATCTACATTCAAATTCAATCTCTTTAAGCAAACAGCATTAAACCCAATTGTAGATCCGACCAGTGTTTAAACACAATGAATAGAATTGTAGAAAACAAATTATGAACTCCGTGGATCTGCTACTGCAAGTCACTCCAAAATTCTGCAAGCAGTATGCTCATGTTGGAGAGGTCATCAATAAAGCCCTAGTGGAGTACAAGGAAGAAGTGACAAATGGCTCATTTCCAGATCTTGCCCACAGCCCATACAAGATCAATGAAACTGATGTTAATGATTTTCGACATGAATTGCAAAGATTAGGTTTGGATAAGGCAGCATCGGCAGCATGTGAAGCAGCTCAGAAGGTACAAGAATCATCCATATCAATGGAAGAAAATCCCTCAAAGTGAATGGTTTGGAAAGAAGTTTAAAAGGCCATTCTTCCTTTTCCTTCTAATCTCTCCTTTACAACACTACAGTTAATAACATAGAACCAGGAAAGGCAAAGATAGTCGCTACCATGTCAAGGCAGGTGGAATATATTGTTTGGAAGATTACAAAGAATTGCAGAACCTCACACATTTTGTTCCTTTTCTGCAGTTTTTCTTTTCAGAAAAAAAAAATCCTTTAGGGCATCCTCGCCATTCATTTTCAGCTAAATAATCAACGAATTCTTGAACCAGCAAGTCCTTGTGGTGCTGAACTCAGATATGTGACTGTACAAATGGCAACATAGCTCCAACAATAAGAACAAAGAAAGAAGGGAGGGTAAATGGGTAATGGATTATTGAATTTCAAGATGGCACCGGCTTCAATATTGCAAGACAGAGTTAATGTTGGAATATCCAATTGCTTATTAGTATTAGTTAATTATTTGAACTGGTTGACCAGTTATGTCCCATAATATCATATGAAAAATTCCGTACTATGCATTGACTGAATTTTAGAGTTCGAGAATCGACAGTTATGGGGAGTTCATACATAAATAAAGTCATTGATCATTCCCAAGTCTGTTTTCCATCAGCACATTCATCAATCCAATTTTAAAATGGCCAGTAATTTGCAATAAAATAATTTAAAATGGGGACCATTTGAACTAATTGGTATGAAGCGCTCCCTTAAATTTTTAGAGCATGGCGTTGCCTATTCAATCCTTTACAAATATGATAAATATGCAAATTTCGAGTAAATGATAGGGAAAAAAAATATTTGTCTAAACAAAGAACTGTTTGACTCAAACAAACTAGATGGATCATGAAGGGAGACGTGCCTACATTTAGTATCTAGAAGTATCTTCAATAGGATTATCTTTAATAGAAAGATAATTACGCATAAGGGGGAAAAAAACAATAAGAAAAATATCAAAAAAATTCGTGCCAAAAATGTATAAATCCCAAGTGTTGATTGAGGTTTCTTGTTTTCCCTTTTCTGTTACTATAAATTCCTCCCTCGAGTGAAGGACTATTGTAGAAAATAAGCCATATGTTCATTGAATAGAGGGGGGAACCCACAAATTCTATCAGGGGGAAAATGGAATATGGTTTGCTGATTATTGATTTCTCGCGAGTAGGGAAGGCAAAAAAACAAAATGTTTAGATGAAAAGCAAGCTATAATTTTAAAGGTAATTATATGGGATACGAAATAAATAGGGAAAATTGCAAATAAAGACCGTGGAATATATAAAATCGCAATTTGGGTCCTTGAATTTGTATAATTGCTGTCAGAGACCCGGTCCCAAATAAGAATTATGAAATGTTGATTAAAAGTCAAAAACGCCATTCTGCTTCTCCTTGTCTTTTTTTCATCTTATCCTCTCCTTCTCTTTCCTTTTCTTCCCCTCTATCCTTCTCTCCATGCTTCTTTTTCCTCCTCCTCATCTCATTCCCCTTCCTTCTCCTTCTTCTCCAGTCCCACTTCCTTGTCCTTAACCCCATCTCCCCCAACTTCTCTTATTCTCTCTTTTCCCTCTGTCATCTTCTTTGTTCCTTCTCCCAAAGCAAGTGAATAATAGGACTTAGAAGAAGGATGCCAAGGGAAACAATAATTAAGCTCAACAAGACTCTCGCTGGATATTGTTGAAGCCTAGCTTCGACAGGGAATTGGGTTCCAGTTTGTCACCGAGTTCTGTGTTGAAGTCAAAGATGGTTGCAGTGACGACGGCAAGTGTGCGATGATTGCTTGGTGCTCAGACAACGCCCAACAAATCTGGATTTTTATTCTTCATTTCTATTTTAATTTTCAGTTTCTGTTCATAATTGAAAATAACAAGTTTGATAAGTTGTTAAAAATAACAAGTTGACAAGTTCTGATACCCAATTCACGACAAGTTCAGTAATACGAATAACAAGTTTAGGAAGGAAAATAACAACTTCTGATAAGCAATTCATAGAAATTCGAGTTTCTGTGTTAAAATGACAGCATTTTCAGATTTCTTTAGCAGATGACAAGTTCTGATACACAATTCATGACAAGTTCAGTAAGGTGAATGACAAGTTTAGTAAGGTGAATGACAACTTCTGATAAGCAATTCATAGAAAATTGAATTTCTCTGTTAAAATGACAGGTTCCCATTAGGTTTTCATACTTTTTCTGTTAAAATGACTGAATTTCCACATTGATTTATGAAAATGACAAGTTCATAATAGAAAATGACAAGTTTCTACAAGATTTTCATACTTTTTTTTCCTAGAAATATAGTTTGTACATTTCTGACAGCAACCACTTCTGATAAATACGAAATGACAAGTTCACAATGAAAAATGACAAGTTAAGTATGACAAATGACAAGTTCCCATAACGTTTTCATACATTTTCATACTTTTTCTGCTGGAATTACAATTTGCACATTTCTGACAGCACCAACTTCTGATAATTGCAAAAAAGCTCTAAATTGTGGAAATCAAGTATGATGATTGTATTTCGGTGGATAAATCGATCAAGGTGTGGGATGTGAGAAACAAACGAACCTTAAATACAGTGCTAAATGAATAAAGTTCTCACCTTATATGTAGAATTTGATGGTTTCTTGTTCATATGATATGACAATTTACATTTGGGATTTCATGGTTGATGATGCACTTGTGAGTGGATATGATCATCATAGTGCATTTGCCGCTGGTGTTGATATGAGCATGCTTCTTGAGGGGCTTATGAGAGTTCTGGTGCTATAATTTTATACATTAGGAGGAAATGAGAGGTGAAATTGATGATAAAAGATGTTAATCAGAAGTGGTTACTGTCAGAAATCTACACATTGTTATTTCAGCAAAAAAATTTATAATTGTATGAAAACGTGATGGGAACTTGTCATTTTACATACTTAACTTATCATTCGCTATTATGGGCTTGTAATTTACTGTTTATCAGAAGTGTTTGTTGTCAGAAATCTGCACATTGTTATTTTAACAGAAAAATTTACAATTGTATGGAAACGTTATGGGAATTTGTCATTTTACATACTTAACTTGTCATTCGCTATTGTAGACTTGTCATTTACTGTTTATCAAAAGTGGTTGCTATCAGCAATGTGCAAATTGTGATCATAGCAGAAAAAGTATGAAAACATTATGAAAACTTGTCATTTGCCATACTTAACTTGTCATTTTCCATTATGAACTTGTTATTTCGTGTTTATCAAAAGTAGGTGCTGTTAGAAATGTGCAAATTATAATTCCAACAGAAAAAGTATGAAAATGTATGAAAACATTATGGGAACTTGTCATTTGCCATACTTAACTTGTCATTTTTCATTATAAACTTGTCATTTCATATTTATCAGAAGTTGTTGCTGTCAAAAATATGCAAATTGCAATTCTAGCCAAAAACAGTATGAAAATGTATGAAAATCTTATGGAAACTTGTCATTTTCTATTGTGAATCTGTCATTTGATAAATCAATGTGAAAATCCAATCATTTTAACAGAAAAAGTATGAAAACCTAATGAGAACCTGTCATTTTAACACAGAAACTCAAATTTCTATGAATTGCTTATCAGAAGTTGTCATTCGCCTTACTAAACTTGTCATTCGCCTTACTGAACTTGTCATGAATTGTGTATCAGAACTTGTCATCTGCTAAAGAAATCTGAAAATGCTGTCATCTTAACACAGTAACTCGAATTTCTATAAATTGCTTATCAGAAGTTGTTATTTGCCTTCCTAAACTTGTTATTCGCATTACTGAACTTGTCGTGAAGTGGGTATCAGAACTTGTCAATTTGTTCTTTTCAACAACTTATCAAACTTGGTTCAGACATCACCATATTACTGTCAAAACAAACAAGAAATTGCATTGACTTTTTATAAGATTCAAAGTCTAAAATGCTTTCTAAGAATTCTAGCATAGCATCTATCAACGTAAAACAATAAAGAAGCACCTCAAAGAGAGTCTTTAGCTCAGAATCTTCAACATTGCTGTTAATGTTTCTAACAAAAATTGTTCTAGAAGAATGTTCAACAAAAGAAAGTTTCCGTTTAAAACGTCGAAGCAACTAGGATCTTTATCTGGACCATTGGCCCCTTTTCCTATAGTTAGATGTTCATCGCCTTCCAGCTCCATACCTCCACTACTGCCAAACAGATCAAAATCTTCCAGGTTATCACCAGTTTTGGTAAATTATTGAAACTCGAGTCATCAAAAACACCAGAAGATGGACCATCTTCATCAAGAAGGAGATTTCTAATGGTGTTAGCCTCAATTTCTTCAAGAGATTTGTATGGTTCATCATCAAGAAGAGGGAGACAAGTCGGAGAATGAAGAAAGAGGGAGACGACTTGGAAAGTGAAGAAAGATAAAGTTAGGGCATGTAGACAAGGGACTGCAAAAAAGCAGAAGGGCGTTTTTGACTTTTAATCAACATTTCATAATTCTTATTTGGGACCGGGTCTCTGACAGCAATTATACAAATTCAAGGACCCAAATTGCGATTTTATATATTCCACGGTCTTTATTTGTAATTTTCCCAAATAAATATATATGTGAAGCAATTCACTTCAATTCATTAAAAAGTGTTTTTTATTTTATGTTCCAAACAGCCATGGTAAGGTTTAGGTTGAAACTTTAGGAGGTGTTAGTAATCTCTAGAAGTATTTTTTAAAAATATTTTCACATAAATTAAGATAATTTTTTTTTCATATGCTTAATTCATATAACAAAAAAATACTTTTAAAATTATTATTTGGTTTTTACCTGAACGAGACAAGATGGAGAAAGCTTTTCAAAGAGAAAGGTTTTGCTTTCTGTTTCCAAAAAAATTGGCGCTAATTGACGGGTGTCTGGGGCTATTAACATAATGGTGAGATTGCTCAATTTTTAAAACATTAAAAGTGAAATTACATCACAAATTACTTTAAAATGCTAGATGCATCTTAATCCTATATTATAAGCAGAAGGGTAAAGGTTAACATTTTGCTACCAGCAATTAATTTTAACTGCTACTCCCTCTGTCCAGTTATATAACTAATTTTGGATTTCATCATGCAGATAAAAAAAATTAGTTAAAAAAGTAAATAGATAAAATTAAAAGTACTTTCTTCAAAATACTTTTATTTATGAAAGAGAGAGAATATGGATAGAGATAGATGATAGTTTGAAAAATAAGATGATAAATATTTGCTCCGACTCTATATATAAGCCTCATTTTTTGAAGAGGGATTTAGCCTACAAGATAGGCTTTTTTGTTTTAATAGTTTGTCTAAACATTTATTATATTTTCTCTATTTTGTTCTTAGTTTATTATATTTAGTACTCCCTCCCTCTCATTAATATTACCCTTACATATTCTCTTTCATCGTCTTTTCATTTATTGCTTATCTCATTTATTTTTTCAATAAAAGCAAATTTTTTTTAAAAAATATATTTCTAACCTATTTATTATTTTTAACTACTTTTAATTTGATAGTTTATTAAATGTGATTCAGTTATTTGAAATTTATATATAAGACCGGAAAGAGTATATTGAATATTAAAATAAGTAATTAATGAAAGCAAACCAGAAAATTTGCTAAAAAATTTAAGATAACATGTAAATGTTGTTTATATTTAAAAATAAGAAGGGATGACAGATGTTGCATATATTTTGTGTGTGTATATAATATATATATATATAGAGAGAGAGAGAGAGAGAGAGGAACAAATCATGCTTATTCATGGTCCTGACTTCTGATTGTGGGGATCATAAAATAAAAACGAAATTTTGTTTTCGTTATCCGTTAGTTCTCTCCGGTTACTCAAATCCTCTGTTAGGTCTGGACTTCGAATCTTCCTTTTGCCTTGCCCTGAACAGCGTCAATTTGAAATCTCTAAACCCCAGACTCAAGCTTCACTCTTCGTCCGAGCGGCAATCGAACCCGATCCCTCTTGCGCGCGCTCATGCCCCTCTACCTTTGTCCTGCAATTTGAACACGATCCCTAACTCAGCAATTGAACTCATTCGTGAGCTTCAAACTCGCGCTTCATTCTTCTTCCAAGCTTCAATCTGTATATGGGCTTGTTCTAGTGTGTCGGAAAGAACAAAAAAGTGAAATTAGTGTTCTTTCTTCTCCTCCCTCCCCCCCTCCCTCACTTATCCTCTTACTCGAAAGCGGGGTTGGGCCATGTCAGTTCGAACTTGAAAGATTCGTTGAAAGATTCAGTTGGTTTCTCTCCGTGCAATATTCTTGCCTCTCTTGTTGAGTCTCGCGCATTTTGAGCTTTTGCAGTCATGGACGCCCCCATTATCGGTTAGCTTTCTTCTGCTTTTTCTGGCTCTCTTACGTAGCTCAAAAGAGCTCTATTTATAACTTAATCTTCCCCCGAACTTATTATAGTTTTGAAACTGATTTTTCCTGGCTGTTCAACGAATTCTGTTGCATTTTGAAGACCCACTGCAGGGAGATTTCCCAGAAGTGATCGAGGAATATCTGGAGCATGGGTGTATGAAATGTATTGCGTTCAATCGTCGTGGTACCCTTCTTGCTGGTAATTTTCACTATCATTGTTCGCTTACTAAATTTATAGGTGTTTTCCTCGCTTTTTCTGGGTTTCTAATTTTGTTGCCTCTCCCGGCATTCCCCTGCAAAGCTTTGTCCTTGTGGACCATTCATAGTGTGCTCTTGCGGGGATTCGTTGGCAGTAGCTTTCATGTATTCATTGCGGGGGATTGTAGGGTAGTAAGAATCCTTGTTAACCCAAAAGAAAATAGAACGGGAGTCAATTTTCTTGAAAGATAAATTACTATACAGAGGTCGTCATTATTTCATGTTTCGTTCATGTTTGACTTAAGGACTTCAATTAAAGTATAAATCATGGATGAATTAAACTGGTCTTTTTGGGCCCGGATAGCAAGAGAGCCATCTATTTCGGCTTATGGCTTATGTCTTATGTGGATGGACATTTTAATATTTTTCATATTTACAGTTTAAATTTACAGTGGTTGTAAATTTGTGCATGTAACTAACACTGTGATACCTGCCTACCTGGTGTGGTGAAATGACAAAATGGGTATGGATTACATAGTAAGGTGTTTGTTTCCTTGATTAGAGCATACTGGACCTTGTTGATCTAGGATTCGCCAATTACTGGTCCTATAAAGTTTTCTTCGTTTTCTTTTCTTTAAGAAATTTAAAATTTAAAATGGTGTATTGAGATTGGTGCTTGCAAGGATACGTTTTGCGGAAGGGAACAATATTTTACATGCTTGACCTAAGTTGTACTCTCAATGTTATGCAAATGGTTTCCCTGGTTGTGAACTTGAGAATGTGGATAACGAATGCAAATTCTTTAGTGCAAGTTGGTCTCCTGAAAATAAGGTGGAGAGATGGGTGTTACTGTTGATATGTTTGGCTGTGGGATGATTATATTGGGAAATAGGGCTTTGGACATACTAGTCAATAGAGAATTTTTGTACATGGGGAGAAAGAATCTGTTTGGACAGATTTTTGGGTATATGTTGCTTATGAGTGGGCATTAAAGTTAACAACAAAGGCACTGGAAAATCCCTGGGGTCAATAAGATGAAGGAGCATACTGGACTGAAAATAGGAGTTCTTGATTCTATCTTTTTTTAATCAAACTTTTGTTTGGACTGTTGCTTAATTGATGTGTAAGATATTGTCAATCATGATGATTTGTATTTAAGGTGAACTCCAACTCCTAGATTTCTTAAGGTGGTTACAATGTCAAGCTGTTTAGGGAAATGGAGCAAGGGATTGCATGATCAAATCTCATCGTCACCTTTACATGACAGTCACCTTTCTTACCTTATAATGAGTGTAGACTGCATAGTTTACAATCATGTGATGGCTCTAAACTTGTAATGTTTTTATTAAAAAGAATAAATTGGGCTATGCTTTTTCTTTTGTCATTGCCATTTAATCTATGCAACTGTGTGATTTTTCTACGTCCATATGTGCTGCAGATGTTCAGTTTGGAAAACCAAGTTCTATCAAGTTGAAATGAAGTATTGCTTTAGAAAACATTTTGACCAGATTATATTCACAACCTTTTGTTTTCCTATATTTTAATTGGGTTGGATAATTTATGGAATCCTGTCAATTAGTAATTTCTTATTGATTTGCATGGTTAATTTCTGTAGCTCCAACTTAACGCATGCTCTGTAGTTTTCTTTTTGGGTCCGAAAATGTTTGTGTGGGACTTGATAAATATTATGGGAAATTTTGAAATGTTGTGAATTTATATTGCACCGTTGATTCTAACTCTGATTCTTGATTTATTCTTCTGAATCAGCTGGGTGCAATGATGGAAGTTGCATTATTTGGGATTTTGAAACCAGGGGCATTGCTAAGGAGCTTCGGGATTTTGATTGTTCTTCTCCCATCACTAGTATATGTTGGTCCAAGTATGGCCATCGAATTCTTGTATCTGCTGCTGATAAGTCATTAACGTTGTGGGATGTTAAGAGTGGTGAGAAGATTAAGCGAATAGTTTTACAACAAACCCCTCTACAAGCCCGACTTCATCCTGGTTCCTCTACTCCATCTCTTTGCTTAGCATGTCCTGTCTCGTGTGCTCCCATGATTGTTGATTTGGATACAGGAAACACTACTTTGCTTAAAGTTTCTGTCCCAGACATAGGTAATGGATCAACTGCCCCATCACGCAATAAGAGCTCTGATGGGTCTACCCCCTACAGCCCAACTGCTGCATGTTTCAATAAGTATGGGAGTTTGGTTTATGTGGGGAACTCAAAGGGGGAGATTCTTATAATTGACTATAAAGGCAATGAAGTACGTGCCATGGTTCCAATCTCTGGTGGTTCAGTGGTCAAGAGCATAGTATTCAGCAGAAGTGGGCAGTATCTGCTCACGAATTCAAATGATAGAATAATCAGGGTCTATGAGAACCTTCTTCCACTGAAAGAAGAAATTAGGGCCCTTGATGACCTAAATGAGAACCTCAATGATCTTAGTGATGTTGAAAAGTTGAAGGCTGTTGGATCTAAATGTTTAAATTTATTTTGTGAGTTTCAAGATTCCATCACAAAGGTGCACTGGAAAGCACCCTGCTTTAGTGGTGATGGTGAATGGGTTGTCGGTGGTTCTGCTAGCAAAGGAGAGCACAAGATTTACATATGGGATAGAGCTGGGCATCTTGTGAAAATTCTTGAAGGACCTAAAGAAGCCCTTATTGATTTAGCTTGGCATCCTGTTCGTCCTATTATTGTATCTGTTTCTCTGGCTGGCTTAGTTTACATCTGGGCCAAAGATTATACTGAGAACTGGAGTGCGTTTGCTCCTGATTTCAAAGAGCTTGAGGAAAATGAGGAGTATGTAGAACGAGAAGATGAGTTTGATTTGATTCCTGAGACTGAGAAGGTATGAACGGATTTGCATCATGCAGGTCATCTTTTGCGTACCCTACTCTGGTGTTTTTTAATTCCGACACATATTACTCTTGCAGGTGAAAACATCTGACGTTAATGAAGATGAAGAAGTTGACATTGTTACAGTGGAAAAAGATGAAGCTTTCAGTGATTCTGATATGTCTCAGGAAGAGCTCTGCTTCTTGCCAGCAACTCCTAGTCGTGATGAGCAGCAGGACAAGTGCATTGAAAGTTTTTCAAAGCTGGTGGACAGTAATAATTCTGGATCCCCTCTTTCAGAAGAGCCTGGACCAAATGGACACATGAACCATGCATCGAGTCCACTTGAAGGTAACATCATGCGTTGCAGCATGAGTTTGGCTTATTTGGGTTCAAAAGAACACCAAATTCCAAATAAATCAATAACCCACATATTAAATTTTGTTTGGTTGTGCGGGGTTATTTTAGCATTTTGGTTCCTTATCCTTGGCTTAGTCTTTAGCATAACTTCAGTTCATTAGCAGTTAGTACCCTTTAGGTTGAAATGAAAAACGTTTGTTTGCATTTTTCTTGTGAATCTATGACTCTTATGTAGCCTTACATTTTTTCTTCTGCAGATGATGCAGGAGGAACACATATGAAAAGAAAGCGGAAACCATCAGAGAAGGGGCTGGAATTGCAGGCAGAAAAAGTCAAGAAACCCTCGAAATCCAGTAAATCTTCAAAATCCAGAAGTAGATCTTTTGTTGATCAGGATAATGGTGACAGTTTATATGGTGATGAACTTTCTGATGAATGACGGCATATTTCTTTTTTGTAATATCAGAAGATGGTTCATGATAATTTCTTTTTATTAACTTCATTTATCCACTTGTAATATTTCTATCATATAGGTTTCTTTGCTTGTCTATCCCCTCCCTACTGTTCCCCTTAGTTCAGGCTGGCCTAGTAATAGCTGGTGTGCCCATTCCTTTATACGGTTGCTGTCTATGGGAGGGAATTATCACCAGATAGGTTTGAGCCCATCAAATTACAAGTTGGACTCATGAAGTAGTAGATATGCAATTTCTGTCACTTCAGTTGACTGAATTATGGCCTAATTGATTTGCGAAGCAGTGAAAACATTCGAGAATAATGTAGGACGGATGTGACCCATATAAATCTTCGAAAAGGTTGAAACTCGGCTAATTTTATGGACGGAAACGGTGCTATAGCTGTTTCTTGCACAGCATTTTTTTTTGGGGACTTCCACATGATCCATTTTTTAAATAATGTTTACATCAATCCATACCATGTACTAGGCTAGAAGGACGTGCAGGTCAACGTGAGTTTGAAGTAACTAGAAGTTGTCCTGCTTATTTACAGTATGTTAAGATGTAATTATTGGTGAAACTCTTGTACAGAATCATGTCGAAGGAAGTAGATATTCGTTTGTCTATTGTCTTGCTTGGGAACGAAGCTTGAAGGATGCATAAATGCCTACTGCCACCATCAGGATTGCTGCACCTGCGTATAACAGCTTCTGTTTATCTTCTTCCCTGAACTTGTCTGCGAGTCTTGTTGCGGCCTGCGAAGCAGAGTTAGCTATATCCCTGACGCCTTTTCCTATAAAGGATTCATTTTCCTTCGTTCCGTGATTCCTTTGATTGACTTTACCAGTTTTAGCATCCGTTTCTTTCTGCGTTTTCTCAGGGGCTTTCAAGCTAGAACTCCCCTTTTCCTTTCTTGCTTCTCCAGCTAAAGTCTGAACCTTCTGAGGTGCTTTTCCTGCCTCTGAAGTCTTGCTGTTATCTTCTTGAATCCTTTCCTTCTCAGCGCTCTTGTTTTTCTCATGCTTCTCCTCGTCTAATTTACCTTTTTGAGGAGTTCCCTCTTGATCCTTTTGAGCCGTTCTAGATTCTCCTTTTGGTTTTCTTGGGGTGGAAGCATCTTTAGTCTCCATCTCATCTCTATGCTTTTCTTCCTCTTTGATACCTTTCTGGGGAAGTTGTTCTTTATCCTTTTGAGGCATTTGAGATTCTCTAGTTTTTTCTGGTGGGGTTGGTGTTTTATCTTTTTTCTTATCAGATTCTCTCTGACTCTTGATGTCAGATTTGGGTTGTTCTTGAGAGACACCTTTCTCACCCTCTTTAGTGGATCCTTCTGATTCAACAGCAGAAGCAGCTGTTGGAGGAGTGACCTGTTTAGTTGCTTCTTGGGCTGGTTTTGGTTCTTCGAGAGTAACACTTGAAATTGGCTTCTTTGGGATGGTAATGGTGACAATTGTTCCATCAAACTTTCCCTTGAGCTTATCAAAATCACATGTCTTTGGAATTACACGCTCTTCTGTGAATCGTTTCCGCTTATTATCGGGAAGTGGTTTTTCACCGAAAACCCTAATTTTCCTCGTGTCTGGCTCAAAGCTTGCACCAATTTGTTCTTTAGTAAAACCTGGAGAAAAACTCATTTATCACTTTTTTGATGGTTCCATGAATCTGTTCTTTTTTTAAAAAAAATAAAACAAAATAATGATAACATCAACAACAAAAAGCTGAGTTATATTGAAGTATTGGAATCCAAAAGTTCTCCTTTTGTATTGATTTGTACATAAATGTTCTACCATAAAACCTGGGTTAAGTGGTAATATTAAATGCTTAAACAAAATCTTGAATTTATGAAAAAATATATATTAAAAAAAAAAAGCGTGTTGATCATGGATATGGTTTATCCGAAAGGAAGAAAAGATATGATTACACAAATTGAAACGACTATTCATTAAGAAAAACTTCCACAGAAGTTGGTTGAGAGACTAATTTTGATCTTATGAATTTATAATTTTTCCTATGTCATTTTTAATTGGTTGCTCATTAAATATGGCTTTCATCAATAATGGTTTATTAAAAAAAAAAAAACAGTGAGGATAGGATATTTAGAACAATTAACATATATATTTTTTACATATAATTAACGTCACTAATTTCTTTAATCTTTATCAATTAATTATCTAGTTTTTAAGAAAATTAAATCATTTTTCTGAAAGAGTTTTTTTTTATAAAAAATTAATGTTCAAATAACAGTAAAAATTAATGGGCTTTACCAAAGTGATTGATCATTAAAAATTGTACATGTATATTGAAAATGCAATGATTATAATGTCTGTGTGAGAGAAACCCAACAGAGACTGGGTCTGAAGAGATTAGTTTTTCACAATATAGTGAATTAGTGTTTGAATTCTTGATAAGAAGTGTCTAACAGTTTCTCAAACAAGTTTTTCATGAAAGATTACTTGTGTATAATAGAGAGAGAGAGAGCTACACACACAAATATGAAAATATAGGCTTTAATTAGGTAAAGATGCATACAGACCAGGAATATGAACAAGAAGAAGAAGAGCATCTGGACTGTCCTTCTCTTCCACAAGCGGCTTGAAATCTTCATATGTTTGCGTTGAAGCCATATCGGGTAGCTTGTCTGCTATCAGAAAATTATGGCAATTTTTCTGAATTGCATGCAAAGGCTTCAACTTCCAATATTTATAGAGGGGATGGTGCCTTGCCTTCCTCGGCTTCTGGGTTTGATTTCCTATCAATTAAACTATTCCTTTTCCGGTTGCTTCAGGAATAATGTAACGTGATTATTGAAGTTTATGAAGGAGTTTGTTTTCCTAGGCGATATGTGAGGCATAACTTGTTCCAGAAATAAGGTAATATATTAAGTAAAAGTCATTCCACAAAATCTAATCTATTTTTTTTATTTACTATTCATTATTATTTCAAACTTGACAAATCAAATTTGCCTTAATTTTTTAGTTTGAATTATTTTCAAATTCTTTACAAATAATCCGATTCTAATTAATTAATTATACTAGTTGATAATTAATATTCATTATCTCACTATTCTTTGTTCATTTTATAGTTCAGTTTTTTCTAGTTAAAGTTTCATTATCTCCTTATGGATTTGCCAACCGTCCATGGTTTGTGAGCAATGAAAGGGAAGGAGGAGGGTTGATATTTTATTGAGTTAAAAAAAAAAAGAATAAACTGGGTGGAAAGTTTTCGATTAATTTTTGGTTAAAACAATATGGTTAGTCTCTAAAATTTGCATTGTTTGGAATCCTTCATTTTGATTCTTTAATTTTATTCCATTTAAAAGGTTTGGCCTGTAGGAAAGCTACCCTGTGTTCGGGGCTATAATTGGTTTGCAACCCCGAATTAAAAAAAAAGAAGTATAATGTACAATCACATAAATGTTAATCATTAGAATTTCATGTCATTTTATCAATTTTTCTTGTGTTTTTATACACTCTTATATATATTTTTTCATCTTTTAACTTTTATCCTTGTTATTTTGAGTTTATAAATTTGTTACTTTTGCAAGGTATATTTTGACATTGAGAGTAATTATATCAAGCCACTTGGAAAACTTTTGGAAGCATTTGAGAATCAAGATTGCTTTAGAATCACATTATGGTGATCAAAGAAGAATAAATAGACTCCAAATTATGGGTGAAACTCCGTATTTGAGCTAAAAGAATAGAATTTTCAGACGCAAAATGAGTTGTGGCGCACTCTGTGTCTTGGCTCTGGCCAAACTCAAATAGAGGCAGACTTGGCCACGGCGTAAACTTTTTGGGCTGCAATGTATTGTTGACAGCAAAAGGAACAGCAACATCAGGTCAAAAAATTCCAAGTTTTAAGGCCCAAACCCGACCTTAGCCGTCATTCTTCAGTTTTGGGTGGTTCCTGGAGTATTGTGCTGTGTTAGGGCTTGCTTCTTGGAGAGATTGAGTTAGAAGTTAGAGTTTTGAAGAGATTTGGGCTTCTTTTCTTGGTTTTTCCTCTCCATTTTGCTTTTTCTACTCTTGTTCCATTTGTGGCTGATGTGTATTATATTCTCATGGATTTTTCTTAGTTGTGTGGTTAAATTCGTTGATTCTAGGATTATTTTAAACTCTTGTATAGATTAAGTACTCATTTCCTCTATATATTTGTGATTAATGATATGATTGTGTTGATTTTACTCTATGTTTAATGCTTCTTGTTGATTATTGCCACTAATGAGATTGTTGGGTTCACTTGATTGATGCTTGAAATGGTTAGATTGAGCGTAGAACTTGAATTTAATCGTGTGAGAACTTAAAATCTGGAGTTGGCTAGATGGTTTTCTTAGTGAGATAGAAATATACTCATTAACCTCACATAGTCACAGAAGGTTTGCAATTAAAGTAGGCTTAATTAATTAATTAAGAGATTAAGGAATTAATTGAGCTAAACACCTTTTAGAGACATGAGAGAGCATTTATAGGTAATTTAGTATCCTTGGCTAGCATAATCTATAATTAAGAAGCAAATACAATGGGGATTTAATTGAGTACTTTTGAAATAAAGGGTATAAGTAATCCTAAGTTCCCTTGAATCATTCGAATTGAAGAATCACTTTTCTTTTATTAATTTTTATATTTTATAAATAGTTGCTTTCGCTCTTGATATTTTTATTACTCAAATTAAGTGAAAATATGATAATCAATACTTAACCACGTTTTGAAATCAAATTCTCGTGAAAATGATACTTTACTCATTACTTTTTATTTTGTCCTAATCCATGCACTTTAGTGCAAACAATAACAATCTCATTAAATATTGCCGCACATTGAAAGTAAGTTGATTCTATTAAGATGTTGCATAACAATGAGATTTATGGAAGTTGTGACATAGCAGTTTCAAGAGAATTCCAAGTTTGATAAAAATATTACTTTTTAGCAATTATATATTTGCGATATTTTAATTAGAAAATAAAAAATGATCATATAATGAATTCAACACGTTTGTAAATTTTAGAAATACGTACAATTTATTAATTATCATGGAAAGATTTTTTGTGGTAACGATTTCCAAACGGTTCTCTTAATAATCAAAAGTGACAACACTGAATAGATAAAGAATCATGTATCCAAATCTAAGCCGTTGTGTATTTTATTGAATCGATGAAGGATTTTTTTGACGTTGTAATCTTGCCTTAAATATATGATACTCAATTGGAGTTTTGCAGGGATCCTTCAACTCAATTTTTTCAAATTGTAAGTACTTTTTGGTTTCATACTTTGCTTGTACATGTACTTTAATTTGAAGAAATAAAATTGGGGCAGCAATTTTTTGAGGCAGAAAATAGCAAAGTGGGAAGGAAAATATTAAACTTTAAATCATATATTTGAGATTTTTTTTATTTAATGAATGATTAACACACATGTTAAGGAGTACAGGCTGGTACATTCCCAAAGACTTGGGACTTGATGTTTTTACAAGTAGCTATTGTAGGAGTCCCATTGAATTTGAGATCAATATTTGTGAGTTTTACCTTCTCACATGGTACACTACTACTACAAATTAGAATTATTCCTTCCTTTGTTGTTGATGTGCCTCTAATGTTTTTGAAGGAAACTCTACTTATCTGTACTTTCGATGGAGTCTGTCGTTGCAGCTCAATGCAAGAAAGAAAAAGAAAATACAAAAAAAAGTAGTTAGAAATATGTAGGGAAACTCAACAAAAAATGATACACCAAAAAGTAGAAAATACATAAATTAGATAATATGCCCATGTTATTCCAACATTTGCATCACATATTTTTCCCTTTTGATAAAATTTTTTTTGAATGTGCTTTTGGTAAATTTCAAATGCTTTGAAATGCACTCATGCATTTTCAATTGTTTGTTTAATATTTTTAATTTTATTCATATTGTTTACTATTTTATACATGTATAAAAATCAATGCATTTTGGGAGAGAGAGAACTAAATACCTGTTTTGAGCATTGGTTCCATGGACATATTCTTGGTCTATGATTATAGGATTGGTGACATTAATCATGACGAGATTCTCAAAACGCAATTGAGAGACTGAAATTTTTATTGAAGTACCAGGCCAGTCTTGACTCTCACACCATTGTCAGTATTTTTAAAGTGCAATTCTTTACTACTAGACCTTCCACAGGTTCTCATTTTCATATTTTCCAAGGCTTCCAACACTAATGCCATGGCCAGGTCCACAGTGTCACGTCTCAACACTCACTTGTTTACTTCCATCACCTAATGAGATGCAGTCATCTCCTGTTCTAATGTTTGAGTCAAGTATTTCACCAATGTTGATCTTCCAATGTGAATTCCATCTGTATTCGGACTTTCTGCTGGGGCCTCAATGGAGATTTGCTAAATGTAATATTTCGGCACCCTAGAACATTCACATGAAAGTGTTTGCTATCTTGATGTTGTGTCTCGAATGATCGAATTGTTCATGAAGCTAAAAACCAAAATTCTGGAAGAGTTTTCAAAGAAAGTTAGATTG